CAAAATGAGTAAAAGGGGGCAGGACAACTGCTCATTAAATCAAATGTCCAATTTGATGTGTGGCCAAATTACAGTTTGACCACGATTTGACCTACGCTGATGTAATACAACGGCTGCATGAGGAAAAACACAAACTTGAAACAAGTTTGAAAAAAAAAACCCTACCACACAAGGCCAAACTGTTGCTGCTGCAGGGGGTGTCAACACACACCCCCAAACTGCTGCTAAGCGTTCATTGGACCAACCAGGACCTTCCCAAGGTACCACTCCACAGGCACCCCCCGGCGTACGCTCACACTCCATCAGGTAACCGACCTGCTCAGCCCCCGTGCTCAGCTCCCTCGTAGCACGGGGCTATTCGGCGGACAAACACCACTCATAAGCACACAATTCACTCTCCTCAAAATAAAATAATATAATAATAGAAATAAATTAATAATTAAAATGAAAATAAATAATTCATAATAAATAAATAAAAAATATTAATTAATAAATAATTTTTAAAAACACCCCCTCTCCCAACGTCACTAGTCGTGACGTCACATGGCTCCGCCCCAGACCCGCCCACCTAGTGAACTTTTGACCCGTGACCTTTTTGACCTTTGGGTCATAAATCTTTTTAAAAGAAGCGGCATTATCCAACTCTCTCTGACAATGACCCAAAACACACAGCAAAAGCAACCCAGAACTTTATTAAAGCAAAGAAGTGGAATATTCTCAAATGGCCAAGTCAGTCACCGGATCTCAACCCCATTGAGCGTGCATTTCACTTGCTAAAGACTAAATTACAGATAGAAAGACCCTCAAACAAACAGCAACTGAAAGCTGCTGCAGTAAAGGCCTGGCAGAGCATTAAAAAGGAGGAAACCCAGCATCTGGTCATGTCCATGAGCTCAAGACTTCAGGCAGTCATTGCCTGCAAAGGGTTTTCAGCTAAGTATTAAAATTGAACATTTTATTTGCAGTTATATTAATTTGTCCAATTACTTATGAGCCCCTGAAATGAGGGGATTGTGTAGAAAAAATACTTTAGTTCCCCACATTTTTATGCAATGTTTTTGCCCTACCCACTGAATTAAAACTGAAAGTCTGCACTTCAACTGCATCTGACTTGTTTCTTTTAAAATTTATTGTGGTAATGTACAGAACTTAAAAATTGAAAAACGTTGTCTCTGTCCAAATATTTATGGTCCTGACTGTAGCAGATGTTACTACTGTGTCATAAAATGTCCTTAACAGTGTCCTGCACACTTTGCAAAATCTCAGTCTTCCCAGCAGGTGGAGATGACTTTGACCCTTCTTGTACAGGGCATCTGTATTGTGTGACCAGTCCAGTTTGTTATTGATGTTGAACACCCAGGTATTTGTAAAGTGACACAACCTCTACATCCATGCCCTGAATGTTCACCTGTGCAGAAGGAGTCACAGTGCGGTAGAAGTCAAGCACCATCTCCTTTGTCTTATTAGTGTTTATCTGGAGGCGGTTCTTTCCACACCATTAAATAGAGTTTGTGATGACCTCCCTTGCATTCCAATTTGTTCCCTTTTGATATGCATCCAACAATGGCTGTATCATCAGAGAACTTCTGGAGGTGACAGTTGTCCGTGCTGTATCTGAAGTCCGATGTGTGAAAAGGAGAGAGCACTGTACCTTGCAGAGTTCCCGTGCTATAGCCTATCACATCAGACATGCAATCATAAAGCTTCACATACTGTGGTCTGTTTGTGAGGTAGTTGGAGATAGAAGCAGCCAGATGACAATACACCCCAACAACTTTCATCTTCTCCCTCAACACTTGCTGTATTGCATTGAAAGCACTGGAGAAGTCAAAAACATGACTCTCACAGTGTCCTCAGTGTTCTCAGTTCATTTGTTCAGATGAACTCAAAAAATGCAAGGCCTGATTGCTGCAGAACCATCCTAGAAACTGATAAGAATTGATTTGTCCTGTATTATATGTATAGGATATTCAACGTTTAACCCAATTCTACAACTGTGGTACTCAAGTCTAGTACTGAGTCCACATATGAATGGACTCAGTTTTGACATGCATTCAGATTAATTTTCACTCTGACTTGACTCGAACTTGAACACTAGTGACTTGAAAATCTTCCAGGGTCGATCTGAATCAGTAGTGTATGCCTGCAGCTTTAGCATAGCATATATTACCTTCAGTATTTTTCAAACATTGTGCCCATGAAGGTAACTCACATCCTCGACACATCTGTCAACACTTGGAAAGGAAACATAAAGACAAGTACATAAGACTAGCAAAATCAGTTTGTCAAGAGGCAATGACTGACCAAGTGTCCAGCCACAATTTGTTTTACATAGTAATCTATTGATAGCTATTCAGCTAGGTAGCCATCATCTTATAATAATAATTGTTATAATTATTATATCTTATAATAATAATTATCTTGCCCACCTGTCACGGGCGACAGTGAAGTTTGGAATCAGATCACAGGGTCAGTCAGTGTTCAGCACCCCTGGAGTAGCTATGTCTAAAGGTCTTAAGGGCCTAATGGTGGTGTAATCGATCTGCAGGAGCACGAATCAAAGCAACTTTTTCAGACACAGTTGTCCTTACCTCCATCATGCACATTTAAGCCACAAACTGCTCATTGCATGTTTGTTTCCCAAAAGCAATGTGCTCAATGAATATCATAGATAAAAAACGTACTAGATCTTCCACTGAACATTGTGTGTGTGTGGTTTATCATTATATTTGCATTGTGTGTACTTTTAAGAAAATCACAAAACTTTTAATAAAAAGTTTGTTAAATGAAAAACTTGTGTTTTATGGATTTTTTGGTTGCTGAACCAATTTTAAATGTGTTCAGCAGGATACAGTCATGTTACAATGAAATTAATAATTACTGCAGGAGGCAGCGTAGGTGTTTCTGCTAGCGTTACCTTTGTGTATGGCAAATTATTCATTTCTTAATTGAAAATAATTATTTATTTGATTGAACGGATAGATTCGGATTCAGCTGCTCAGCACCAGTAATGGTCTCATCTCAGACTTGCTCTTCTGTTGGACTCTTGACTCAGGCTCGTTATTTAAAATATATAATTTTGACTCGGACTCAACTAAGGTGGACTCGAACAGAATACTTCAGTCAATATCCAGGCTGGCCGACAGAGGAGGTGACCAAGTCCAGTGGCCTGTACTACGAAGCAGGGTTACCGGCTTATCGGGGTAACTTGTCGGATTTAAGGCAGAAGGGATGGTAAGCAGGGACACTAGTTTCTTTCAGTTCTTCCCATAGATTTTGAACCCATAGATTTTTACGTTTGTACAATTACAAAATTTATATAACGTTGACACCTAGTGTCAACTACGGAAATAACATTTTATTTTTCTGCGTAACGCAGCTCGACGGACATGTAATTTAAACAAATCTATAATTTACGACGTATACACGCAAGAGCGAGAGATCTCCGTTTTTCTTCGTAAATTATGTTGCAGAATAGGCGGAGAAGTCGAAGTGCGCGCATGAGCGGGAGCTCGCGGTGTTTCAGCGTTTGTAGCGCTATGGATTGCGTAGCAGTGAGTCGACGTATCGCGCGTATTTCGGCGCATCTATCGTTGAAGAATAAGCGTAGGAGTGAGGGGACGTAATGCTCCGTGTTTTGGTGTAACTGGCGTTGAGGAATGACCGTAGCAGCCGGCAGCGAAAAGACGTGAAGCGGAGACGGACACGTAGAACCAAGGCAACTCTGTCAGCTTTGCCGGTGAGTGTACCTGTGTGCATTGATTCCCCACCTGGCTCTTTTGCTGTTTTTAGTACGTATATATTCCCACAGCATGTACGGTTGTTTTAGCGGCTATGGAGATTTTCTAACATATTTACAAGCCATCGAAGTGTTTGTGTGATACTTATATTTTCTCGTTTGAAACACATAGCAAACAACGTGTCCAGATTGCGCAGGCGGCTCTGTTAATTTACTCGTAACTCTTGGAGTAACCTAATTATATTAATTTCCTGGTTTCTACATGAGCAGCCACGTTTCCGTCATGAAGTTGGCATATCGTGGTTCCTGTGCTGTCTTGATTAGTGGGACATTTCAGTGGGGAAACAGTGGTCATTGATTAAGTTTTCCGCTGTGTTTGTCCTTCAGGTGAGAGAAGCCACTAACCATGCTTCAGCGACTATTCATGTGTTCCCCCCTGAGGGGCCTGACACGGAGATCACGGACAGATGTCTGCCCATGGATCTGCAGAGCCGTTTCACAAGCCAAATGTGAGTCCTAACCGTAAAACTGACTCCTAAATTATAGATCACCAGAGCAGTGTCACAAGCCAAGTTTGAGTCCCATGGTGGAAGCAAAACAAGCCTCCTCTCTCTTTCCACACTTACTGTTAAAAAAGGTCATTTTTCACAGAGACCGTGTGTTTGTTATATCTGTATTGAGCAGAAACTTACACCATAGGATTGCCTCTGTTGGGTTTGTGGATCTGTACGGATCCTGAGCACAGTGATGGTCACATGCCGCGTCAAGCTGGAGCGTAGCTCGGAGTTTGGAGTCAAGTGTGCAGTAATCACATGCCAATCTGTTTCTCCTCATCTCAGTTCCTCTCCCACGCCCGCAGGGGCGCTCTCTGCCCCACCGCAGCGAGCTGAAGCATGCCAAGCGCATTGTGGTGAAGCTTGGCAGCGCTGTGGTCACACGTGGAGATGAGTGCGGCCTGGCTCTGGGGAGGTTGGCGTCCATTGTTGAGCAGGTGACACCCTACTGTTTCCTCGTGATCTGGTGCAAGTTGAATCAGCCCCTACATTAATGTGTTGGTCTCCATAAATCTTCTCATTGCTTTGTGCTACCTGGAAATGAATCTTGGGGCTCTGTGTTGATGTTTGTTTCGTTCACTCTATAAGGTGGCCATGCTGCAGAACCAAGGCAGGGAGATGCTCATTGTAACCAGTGGCGCTGTGGCCTTCGGAAAGCAGAGGCTCAGGCACGAGATCCTGCTGTCTCAGAGCGTCCGGCAGGCCCTGCATTCGGGTCAGAATCAGCTCAAAGACATGGTGAGAACGCACACTGAGCCAGTGAGAACAGAAGGTGGTGGGCTCCCTGTGGCCTTGGTGTCTATTTTGTCCAACAGGTTGACCACATGCTTCCTTTCCAGTCAGTTCCAGTTCTGGAGGCACGGGCGTGTGCGGCTGCAGGCCAGAGTGGCCTGATGGCCCTGTACGAGGCCATGTTTACCCAGTACAGCATCTGCACAGCCCAGGTACGGTGTCCTATTACAGACAGCCCGCTCTTCAGGCTCTGCTTTGCCTGACCTGGCTGTTTTTGGCAGATCCTGGTAACCAACCTGGACTTCCATGACGAGCAGAAGCGGCGAAACCTGAACAGCACTTTGCACGAGCTGCTAAGGATGAACATTGTGCCCATCATCAACACCAACGACGCCGTGGTGCCCCCCCCAGTGCCCAACAGCGACCTGCAGGGCGTCAATGTGCGTACTTCTTGGGGCATGCTAGGATGGCTGGGAGCAGCCTGATGCATGCTGGGAGCTGAGGTCCATTTCATGATGTGTGATGCACTTGGTGTTTCAGGTGATCAGCATTAAGGACAACGACAGCCTGGCGGCTCGGCTGGCCGTGGAGATGAAGGCCGACCTCCTCATCGCACTGTCTGATGTGGAAGGTAATGGGGCTGCTGGATTCGCCAATTACAGTGAGGAGTGACACTAGAGCCAGCAGTATAATAGGTAATAGCTGCTGCTTTTTAATGAGGGCAGCCATTGTCTAATGGTCACCTCCTCTATCGGCCAGGTTTATACGACAGCCCCCCAGGAACAGATGATGCCAAGCTCATTGATATTTTCTACCCTGGAGATCAGCAGTCTATCACCTATGGAACCAAGTCAAGAGTGGGGAGTGGGGGCATGGAAGCCAAGGTCAGGGAGGCGGGAGACATGAATGTTATGGTCAGCGGTGGGGGGGATGGGGAGGCATGGAAGGCAGGCAGTCTGACTGGGTAGTCTGACCGGCACTGGTGTTTGTCACGACTGTCACACATGTCACGCAATAGGTGGCTGTATGGTGCATCACTGGGAAAATTAGTGTTGTGACCATATTCACCAAATAGTTACACGGTCATGTGTCCATCTTATTGGGGGTTGCAGGTGAAGGCCGCCCTGTGGGCACTGCAGGGAGGCACCGCGGTAGTTATTGCCAATGGGACACACCCCAAGGTCACGGGGCACGTCATCACTGACATCGTGGAAGGGAAGAAGGTCGGGACCTTCTTCTCAGAGGTGAAGCCGGCAGGTAAGTAGCTGTCAGGCCTGGAGATCCTTCTTCATGGGTGACACCTGGAGGTGTACTGTTTCAGGGCATTCAGTAAAGTTTAGTAGTTGTTCAGAACATGCTGATACCTTCCAGGCCCCACTGTGGAGCAGCAGACTGACATGGCGCGCCAGGGGTGCAGAGTCCTGGCGGCCCTCCTCCCAGAACAGGTAAGCTTCATTCCTCATGTGCCTAGGAACTCGTTTATAAAAAAGTTGCATAGGAACCATCCTACATTTCATCTGGGATAATTTCTGAAAAACATGATTCAGAGAAAATGAATGCACATACAAGAAAAACTTGAGTACACCACTCTCCTAGATGTGCAATCTATAAATCGCAAAAATCGTGAGTAGCTGAATGGTTTTAGATCACCACTTTGGAAAATAATACCATTAGCATATAAATGAGCTCAAATCAAAGCCGTTATCATCTGCTGAATAATAGCGAGCTGCAAAAAGAAGACTGTTAGCAAGGCTGAAATAGAGGTCCTGTTGGCAGAGATGCAGATGCCTGCAGGGATGCTGTTTGGGGGCCTTTCCAGTCGTATTACTACAAGGGATGTCACAATACTAGAAATTCAGCAGTCAATGCCAGTGCCACTGGATATTGTAGTACCCAATTCAATATCATGAATCAAATTAAAACAATAAATCCCACATACTTCAGCATACACCCCTTTATCAAAAACATTTCAACATTACAAAAACAGCAGTGGCATGTAGCCTTCAAGTATTTAGAACAATGCTGTGCTTAAATTACAAATAATCAACTTCTTTATGGCACAGTACTACAATTGCAATAACTGGCTGAGATATGGAAAAAATATGTAAAGAATAAATAGATATAATAAGTAAAATGAAAGAACTAATAATATTATAAAAAAATTAATTGCTAAGGCAGTGCCTTGCATGTGCTTGGCATTATTTTCTACAAGTAGGATATTATGCCAGAAATGGAAAGGCGAATAAAAAAATCTTAAAAATGGATCAGGCATTTATTTAACACGTTTATTTACAGTTTTTAAGATGGGCTATGAGAAAATAAAAGGCGACAGATCGCAACACTAATCGCAACAATCTTAAAAACAAATGTTATGTAGCTCAGTAATTAAAACTTTACAGTATAAATATTTTTTTAGCTGTATAAGTAACACTAGAAATCAGTTTGCGATGTTAACATGATGTGGCTGTGAGGATTTGAACCAGCCCATGTTTATGTAGTACAAGTGGTTCAAGAGTAATAAGCATTTTATTTCAGGTATATCCCTTCAGAGGGGAATGATAACACTTGTAGGTGCATGCTGCTCCTGTCATGTCTGAATGAATTGCATCCCCAGTACCTGCTGTACTGTAGAAAGACAGGCACTGTAATATTTTCAGAATTTTGACATCAACTTGGTACTGGATTTTGTGACATATGTACTCTGTAAAATCAAGACCATCTGGCCGCAAAGCTTTAATGACGTAGCTCTTCGCAAACAGTACCTGGTTACCCGCCATTTGTCATCATCCAGAGGCTTACCTCCCACACTGTTGCATACCCAGAGTGCATCACAGGGTTGGATAAGTGATAGTTTGGGCTACAATATCATGGCATTCCTTAAGCCCATTAGTTCTAGATGGGTGCACCACTGCTAAGGACTACCAAACCATTCTGGAGGACCATATTCACCCAGTGGCTCAAATATTGTACCCTGAAGGTAGTGCCTTGTATAAGGACGATAATGCACCAATACACACAGCAAGACTGGTGGCAGAGTGGTTTGATGAACATGAAAGTAAGGTTGAATATTTCCTATGGCCTGCACAGTCACCAGATCTGAATGTTACTGAGCCACTTTGGGGTGGATTAGCAGCAAGTCAGGAAGCATTTTCCTCCACCAGCATCACATAGTGACCTGGCCACTGTTTTGCAAGAGGAATGGCTCAAAATCTTTTTGACCACTGTATCTGTCATTCCCAAGACAAATTGATGCTGTATTTGTTGCAGAAGGAGGCCCTCTACCATGCTAGTAAATTATTGTGGTCTAAAATCAAGTGTTTCAGTTTTATTGTCTAACCCCATGCATTTTAAATAAATTTCCTTGAAGGATATGTTAGTTACGCTAATAAGGTTTTGGAAAACCAACGTATGTGTTTGTATTGTTTTCCACAATTAGCTTCGCCAATGTTGCTTTAATGTAATTACTTAATTTGCACAATAAAGTAAATAAATTAATAATCACATGTAGTCTTAAGTGTGTTCAATCTAGCAGTAAAACAGCATCTACTACTACAGTCATATTTTATTATAACAATGATGATTATTTTAAATTATGCGGAATCAATTAAGCAACAGATGATCATGCTGGCGCTCTTAGATTTCTAACTACCTGCAGTACCCCAACACTGCCACAAGGAAAAGTGTGTATGTCAAGTCTGAACTTCATGTTAGTATAAATACTTTTCCCATATCAAAGACTGTTTTTATAAACTGATCTTTGGCTTAGATTTGACTGTATGATCAGATTTGTGCTTAAGAATGTTTCATAAATGAAGCCCCAGGCACACATTTATCTGGAACGTTCCATGGCTCTAATGGAGCTGGTGATTGCAGAGGGGAGAGATCATCTGCCACCTGGCTGACCTGCTGATCGAGAAGAAGGACGAGATTCTCACTGCCAATAAGAAGGACATTGATCTGGCAGTGAGTTCAGGTGACAACCCCCCAAGCCCTTGCATGTGAGCGTGTCTCCTAGGTGTTTGTGTTTGAGGAAGGTTCTGTTTCCCCCAGGCCGGCTCTCACTGCCCCTGCTGAAGCGGCTTAGCCTCTCGCCGGCGAAGCTGAACAGTCTGGCCATTGGGCTGCGACAGATCGCCGTAGCATCGCAGGGCAGCGTGGGTCGCGTGGTGCGGCGCACACGCGTAGCCAGTGGTCTGGAGTTAGAGCAGATCACAGTGCCCATCGGAGTGCTGCTCGTCATCTTCGAGTCACGACCTGACTGTCTGCCGCAGGTGGGTCTGATGAGTCGATGGGCTGTTGATGTGTCCTGCATTCACATGCCGACGCCAACTCTTGCTTGGTCTGATGGGTTGGCAGGTCATTGATGTGTCCTCTCTCCACATACCACCAACATTCTGAATGCAGGTATCTGCTCTTGCCATCGCCAGTGGCAACGCCCTGCTCCTCAAGGGAGGGAGGGAGGCAGCCAACACCAACTTCATCCTGCACCAGCTAACCCAGGAGGCGCTCTCCATCCATGGGGTCCGGGACGCGGTGCAGCTGGTAAGAGGCAGGGGTGAAGTTTGGGTGGAGGTCACATGGTCACTCTGGCATTCCTGTGTCATCTGTGTTGCCTGTCACAGGTAAGTACGCGTGAGGAAGTGGAGGACCTGTGCCGCCTGGATAAGATGATCGACCTGATCATCCCACGAGGCTCCTCCCAGCTGGTGCGGGATATCCAGCGAGCAGCCAAAGGCATCCCCGTGCTGGGCCACAGTGAGGGCATCTGCCACGTCTATGTGGATGCGGAGGCCAGCATCGACAAGGCCATCAGCATCAGTGGGTGACGTTCGCCCTCCTGTGACATATACACACACACACACACTTGCCTGCTCATACTCAGCGCTCTGAGGTTGACGGCTTGTGATCTAGTCAGAGACTCCAAATGCGACTACCCTGCGGCATGCAATGCCATGGAGACGCTGCTGGTGCACAGGGATCTGCTGAGGACACCACTCTTTGACCAGATTATTGACATGCTGAGGGTGGAGAAGGTAAATGATTGTACAAATGCAGAGGAGCGTTTAACTGTAAGGTTCCGAGAGGCTCGCTGTTCCCTGCATCCCACCCATGTTTCAGGTGAAGATCCATGCTGGGCCTCGATTCGCTTCCTACCTGACCTTCAGCCCCTCGGAGGTCAAGTCCTTGCGCACAGAGTATGGTGACCTGGAGTGCTGCATGGAGGTAGTAGACAGCATGCAGGATGCCGTGGAGCACATCCACAAATATGGCAGCTCACACACCGACGTCATAGTCACAGACAACGGTGAGTGTCAGTGCCTTGGGATGAGCCGGCTTCCTCTAGCCCTCCTTTCCACACACCATAACAACCGCCCCTTCCCTCTGCCCAGAGGAGACTGCTGAACGCTTCTTGCAGCAGCTGGACAGTGCCTGTGTCTTCTGGAATGCCAGCTCCCGCTTCTCCGATGGATACCGCTTTGGTCTGGGTAGGACCACCTTTTCATTGTCCCCGCCACCAGCATTAAGGTTTACTCCTGCCAGTAGTCAAAGCTCAGGATTTACTACTGTTACTCCACTACTATTTGTTAGAGTCAGGGTTGCTCCGTGGTGCAGTATGGGCTTGTCTCCTCCAGGTGCCGAGGTGGGCATCAGCACAGCTCGGATTCACGCCCGGGGGCCCGTGGGCTTGGATGGGCTCCTCACTACCAAGTGGGTGCTGCGGGGCAATGGCCACACAGTGGCCGACTTCTCCGAACAGGGCTCCATGAAGTACCTTCATGAAGACATTCCTGTGCCCAGCAGGAGCTTTGGCATTCCTGGATTTAGTGTCTCCTGATCCAGACCAGCAACCTCTGCCTGAATCTGCTGGCTCTCCAAATGATCTTATGAACAGCTAATCGCAGTACCTGTTGAGGTGAAAAAAATCGGACTATTATAATAACAAGCTAGAAGCCCCAGAATTACCAAAGTTTACACTTATAACTTGATCCCACCCTGGCCACCTGACCTGTGCCATGTTGATGGTTAAATTGTACTGTCGATCTTTACAAACTTAAAGGCAGCACACTGTAAGAACCTGGTGTCATTAAGATGGAATCTCTGTCCCTGTCTGCTGGCAGTCTGTGTTCCACTATTTAATCTGTAGTTCCACACATTGGATTCAGAGGGACTTTCTCAGTAGAGCGTTTAGTTTATCAGTGAGGACCAGGTGGAAACTGCCTCACTGTAGTATTAGCATTATTATTAGTCAGAGCTCTGTGTCCCAGTGTTACATTCCAGGAGAAACTGGCCAATCGTGTCATTTTACACACATGCAATTAAAGTTTTGAAAAATAATTTGCTGTCATTTTTCAAGTTTCTCTTATAATGTCTTTGTAGAGAATCTTAAGATATTTCCGTAGTTAAAACAATAAGTTCTCTTAGTCATGTCAAATGTGGTGCTGTAGTATTAAGTATGTTCCAGCAGATGGTGCCAGATGAACAAGCAAGTGTCTGCTGTTCTGGTTTATTTTAAGATAAACCAGTCTGCAATCAGAAGTTTAACTTTTAAATACCAAAGTATTACCTTTTAAATGTTCATACACATCGTACTGTAGAGCAGGGGCAGTTTGAGATATTGTTGGGCGGTACCGGTTCATACTGAAAACCGTATTTTTATTTTTATGATATGAATTTTTCTTGTACTGCAATACTGGTTAAAATAGCATACACAACGTTCAGAAAGTGGCGCAGCTGGAAACTGTTTAAGGGGGGATCTTTTTCACTGCTGTACCACTAAAAATGTTGAAAATAATGAGATACTGGGGTTGTCAAAAAAATCGATTCTCAGATACTAATCGATATTAAAAATTAGTATTTGATTAGATACTCCTTTTCACCATTATTGATACCAACAGTGTGGTTTTCGCCTCATTCGGCACACTTCACACAGCACCACTACGGTGCATGCAAGCCCCTCCCCTCTTAATAGCTGCTGAATGCTTTTTCGCAGGTTAACACACAAAAACAAAAGTGCCGTTTGGAGGTATTTTGCAGATGAGCATGGAAAGGCTAAGGATGTCGATAAGCCTCTATGCAAACAGTGCTACAAAGGTGTAGCGACAAAGTAGCACATCAAACTTGGCGAAGCATCTTAAAGACCGACATCCCGGTCTTTATGAGAAATTTCGCCAGGTCAGTAAAGCTCGTGTTCCAGCAACACTGAACTATTAAACATTTATCAAAAATGTTAACTTGGCCAGCGCACACCTTAACATTAACCATTTATCTATAAGCAGTTAGCCAACAAACACGTTAGCTGTATGTTATCATTAAGGTAGCAGATAGGCGCTATGGCTAATAATAATATAATGTGGGAACAATGCAAAAACATAAAATTGTGTCCTGTAAAATGTGGCAAACGCCCAGTCATAATTAAAAAAATATCATTGTATACCGTGAAACAATATAACTTACCGTGATATGAATTTTTTGGTCATACCGCCTAGCTCTAGTTTGAGACATAAAGCTGTACTGGGGCACAGGCACAGGCCTCCCACCCCCCTTACTTATATGATTTGAATGTGAGATTTTACAGGAGCACAACACATAAATACCGGGGTACATGCCCCAGTAAAAGGGCTCTAGCAACAGCCATGCAGCAGAGTTTGTGTCTGTGTAGGTTGAGATGTCATTGTGTATCTCCCACCACTGGAGGGTAGTGTGAGTCGTAAGACCATAAGAAATTTACAAACGAGAGGAGGCCATTTGCCCCATCAGGCTCATTTGGGGAGAACTCGACTAATAGCTCAGAGTTGTTAAAATCTTATCTAGCTCTGATTTAAAGGAACCCAGGGTTTTAGCTCGCACTACACTAACAGGAAGACTATTCTGTACTCTAACTACACTAGCTTCTGTACTTATATTTGTATGAGTGAGTTTCCTTGCCTGCAAGCTTTTTACATGTATATTTTAAAATTACTATTTGTAAATATAAATAATATTTTTAGTTACATATAAAAAAAAAATAATTATAAATGTTAAATGAAAATGTTAAATATAAATGTTAACATATGCAGATTACCTTGTTTGCATGGAAATAGGCGGTAATGATGAAAGTGTGCTAAGTGGCTGCTGATGATGGAGGACTTAATGGTGACTTCCGCTCCTTTAGAGGCGATAGAACGTGCGGTTTCGGCAGGTTTTCGCCCTGCATTATGGAGCAGATTGAAATTCAAACACAACATGCCAATTTATATTTACATTTAACATTTAAATGTAACATTTATATTTATTTACATTTAACATTTAAATGTAACATTTATATTTACATTTAACATTTTTTAACAGTGACATTTAAAAAATTTTAACATTTACATTTCCATTGATATTTAACATTTACGTTTAATATTTACGTATAAATACTCTTTATATTTACAATTAGTAATTAAAAAAAATATTATACATAGCAAAAAGTTGTGATGATTTTTAACACTGTTTATTTCTAGCAAAATGTTGAAAAAGTGGCAAGTAAGAAAGGGCTTAGTGCCTGTACAAACAGCACCCCATCCATAAATACCAGGCACGCGTATGCGCTTACAAGCAGAGAACCCATCCTCATTACATGCTTGGGTCTGCACAATATGGAACGCCAAACAGGTCAAAAACATGTGAATTTTAACGTGTAGAATAGATGTGAACAACACATGTTAACTTCATGTGGCTAACGTGTTCTTAACGTGTATTCTACGTGTTTTCTATGCGTTAAAATTCACATGTTTTTGAGCCATTCTGCCACTTGTCCAGTTTGAACGGGTGAATATCACTGGTTGCTGAAGACTAGGGTTAAACCATTTCTGTAGGCATGGATGTTACCTATCATTATTTCACATGCTAGACAGTCTATTATTTCGTTGTCCCTTTTGATGAAAAGGATTTAAGTTGCATTATTATTATTATGACATTCTCATCAATATACAGTTGCTTCCTTTTGCTCCACTATTGCCTTTTTAGTAAACAAGCACATTAGTGGACATTGTAGCTTCTATTGAATTTCTATCAAGCTTTAGTTTTCTAGCATTAAAAACATTAACAATAGTGTGTGTGTGTGTGTGTGTGTGTGTGTGTTAGTTAATGTGTATTCTACACAGCTTTACCAGTCCATGACTTCACTTGATCAGTGGTCACCAGTGTGATGTCGAAGCTCTCCAGCATGAGAACCTTCTCCTCCGGCTTATCCACCTCTGGTTTTTCTGATAATGGTAGGCAACTAAGAGCGTCTCATTGCTGTGGTATTTCCCCTCTATGTACACAATCTTGTATTCATAGGCCCCTAAGTGAAAGTCTGGAAGAGAGCATTTGTGGCACTGCTCGGATCTCACTGAAAAGTGACAACAAAGGCTTGTGATCTGTCACTATAGTGAACTTATGCCCATAAATGTACTGATGGAAGTGTTTTATTCTAAACATCACTGCTAAACCCTCCTTATCCAGTTGCGAGTAATTTTTCTCTGCCACATTGAGCTTTCATGAGACGAATCCTGTAGGTCTCGATCTTGGTTCCATCAGGCAAGTGATGTGAGAGTATAGCACCAATCCCATATGGGGATGCATCACAGGACAACACAATGTCCTTTTCGGGGTCATAATGCACTAGAACTTCAGCCGACTGCATAATTTCTTTTGACTTATTGAAAGTTGCTTGCTGCTTCTTTCCCCAATGCCACCTTGTGTCTTTCTGTAGCAGCTTGTGCACTGGAGCTAGGACTGTGGACAACTTGAGCAGGAACTTGTTATAATAGTTCAACAGTCCAAAATATGCCCTCAACTCTGTCACATTTAAGGGTGTCAGTGCCACTTTGCTTGTTTGCACCTGTAGCATCCACCTTATGACCAAGGAACATCACCTCATCGCACATAAATTAACACATTGTCCGTTTAAGCCTGAGACTCGGCATCCTGTAACTACTTCAGTACCTTGGACAAAGTCTGCAGATGCTCCTTGTCATCTTTTCCTCTGAGCAGGATATGACCACCTTCGAAATATCTTGCAGCAGTCCCTCCATAGTCCGCTGGAAAATAGCTGGACTAGATGACACTCCAGAATGTAAGACCTTGTATGTAAACAAGCCTTTATGCGTATTTATGATTATGTACTTTTTTACTTCTCCGTCTAAGAGAATCTGATGATATGCATGACTTAAATCCAGTTTTGTGAACTTTTGTCCACCTGAAAGACTGGTAAAGAGGTCTTTGATTTTGAGAATGGGGTACTGTTCTAGTCTGGATACTTGATTTACTGTTAGTTTGTAGTCCCCACACAGTTTCAAAGAGTCATCTGGTTTTAACACTGTGACCACAGGTGTTGCCCATTCTGCATGCTTCACTGGTTCAATTATCTCCTGGACTAGGAGATGTTCAAGTTCCACCTCAACTCTTCCTCTCATGGTGTATAGCACAGATCTGGCTTTAAAGAAGCTAAGGATCACATCCTTGTCCAGATAAATGTTTGTTGGGGGGCCTTTAAATCTACCTAATTCATCCTTGAAAACTTCCTCATATTTACGCAGTACCTCCTCTAAGCTCTCTTGCCTGACATGGTGGATCTGGGTTTCTGGTGTACACTGTAAGCCTAGCCTCCACATCCAGTACCTGCCTACCAGGTTGGGGCCTGACCCTGCCACAGCTACCAAGGGTAAGCCTGTTTCTGACATTTTGTGCTGAACCTTGACCATAGCTGACCATAGAGTCAACTTCAAACTGTTTCTTCTTATCATTAACTATTAGTGTCTCTAAAAATTGCTCTTCTGTTGGTATGTCTATTTAATCCATTTTGTACAATGTGAACATTACCGCCATGTGTCCAAATCCTCTATTTTATCCTATCCTCGACTCACATAATGTGCACCCTGAGCTTTCCCTGGCTTACCTCTCTGTTTCACTCCACCCCCATTAGCCTTCAAAGTGCTAGCTGAACCTTTGGACCTGTACATTTTCTGGATATGGCAAATAAAACCACACTTTTTTTTTTTTTTTTTTTTTACCACATTTGTGATAAGTTTCTTTAATAAACTTACAGTTCCCAGCCCTATGCTGTTTACTACCAGACCTGTAGCATGCTTTCGGCTGATACTGTTGCGTATTGGGGGCTTATTTTGCTGACACCCTGTGATCTGATTGCAACGTCCACACTTATGAGGGGGCCACCTCCAGTGACTGTAAACCTCTGATGTCCTCAGTCGCCTGGGCCAACTTCAGTGCCTTGTTGAAAGTCAAATCCGGCTCTACTAACAGCCGCCACCATGTATGGTCATCTCCACACACCAGCCTATCCCATAGCATTTCTAATAATTAAGGGT